GTACGGGACATTTATTATTATTATTATTATTATTATTTATTTTCTAATCCATCCTTTTTCGCTTGTTGTAAAAAAAAAATGTAAAAAAAAATAGTCCCACATTTTCCTGCCTTCCTGCCTTGGGCGGGTGTGGAATGTCCCGCAAGTGGGTTATATGTAATGTATGTGGTGTATGATGTTGCTGTGATAGCTGCGGTTGCTGCTATGCTGAGTGCAAGTGAGTGTACGGTACCGTAATACGGTAAGGTACAGTGCTCGTACAGTGGCTGTTGCTGTACTGTACGGGTACAGTACTTGCTGTGCACATCATGTCCAGCTTCTGGTTAAAATGGGTAAGGTGGTGGAGAGCGTGCTGCTTGCAGCGTAGGTACGGTAGGCATCAGCTTATCAGCGAATACTCGTAACACAACGTCGCCAAGTGCACAGACGGTATGCGCAATGGGGCTTTCCTTCTTTTTCCTTTTCTTTTTTTTCTTTTTCCAGATTATTCATTCATCCTTCGATCCCTCAGAAAAATTGTTGAAGAGGGGGGAGGGGGGGGAGAGAAGAAAAGTGCATCTTCTCGCAAGTTCACGATGCTTATATCATATATGAGCTGAGCAAATTGATCTTTTTCCCTTAAAAAAAACAAAAAAAGCCAGAGCGGATCTCAAGCTCAAACAAACTTATTCATCCCGGATGCACCAAACTAGATGATACCAAACTGTGTGAATATTTTGGCAAGACCTCTTCATTCCTATTCAAAAACAACCACTAGACTCCCCATCCCCTTTCACCCTATCTTGTCCCGTCCCGTACCAATGCAATAAAGTTTCGACGAAGGGAATAAAATAAAAAAAAGGTAACCGCCCTATGTTAAAAAGGGTAATAATAGTGACAAGAAGGGGGGAAAAGAAACCCATAATACAAGTGGGAAATAAGGGTTCTGTTACAAATAAGACCCATTTCCCAAGTCAAAGGAAACCAAAAAAGTCTGGGAGATTTGTAAAGCGAAGGAAAAGAAAAAACCCCAAAGGAAATATGGCCCCATCCATTACTTCCTTTCGTCCGATGGAGATAAAAAAAAATTTGCGATGCTCAGTGAGAGCAGCAATATGCTCCTCATTCTGCCCTTCATTTGATGAACCGTTCAACCGCAAGGAAAACGTTGAAATGTGAAACTCCACCGAATGACAAATCCCCAGACTCTTTTTATCCCTTTCGCTCGCCATTGCTCCAAAAAAGTACGCCCAAATGCGCCATAGGTACAATGCAAAAACATAAAACCACAATGTAAAATAAATAATAAAAAATGAAATCCCCGTAATAGATAATGCAAGGTTTTGAATAATGAAACCGTCCACTTTTTTTTCGTAAAAGTACAAGTGAGGAGGTTGATGATGATCGTTTATCTTCGACTAAGGTAGTAGTGGTAGAGGATAACGATGCGAATTAGCGTATCATAGAGGGTTATGTAAGGACGTGATTCGTGTCTAAATGGTGTGTCGTAGATAAATAAAACCGCATATCAACCCAACGATCGGAAGATTGAACAAGTAACGGATTCGTTGACTTCGTGGCAGCGTAAAAATGTCAGACCAACAAAATGAACTGATAGAGAAATCCGTGGGTCGAAGAAAAAAATGATTAGAAACTGCCGTTCTCGCTCCAGACCTGAGAACCCTTCTTCTTGCTCCAGCCAAACTGCTTTCCCAAGTTTCTAAGGTCTGTCATGTTCTTCCAGCCCTTAGCTGCCTTGTCTGCTGTTGTCTTGTGCTTCGGAGAGCTGGTGGCCGAGCTGGGGAGCATCGATTCACAGGTCGGTGGAGTGGTAGGGGGAGTCATAGGGTTTGCGTATGACCCCGGTGATGAGGTGCCAGAATCCTCCACCATCATCATCAAACTGTCACCACTGCCCGAACCCCAAGAACCAGGACCCATCGCAGCTGAATGCCTGTGCCATCCCAAACTCGCACTGAAAGGAGAGGCCGCTCTTTGTTGGCGAGCTGACCCGCTCGAGTAAGAATTCGACACAAAATCCAATAGTGGTGGAGGCGAAGAATCCCTCTTGCTCCTCCTCCTCAAAAACCGCTCATCAAGACTCCCACGCATGCACAAATTCTCATCCGACTGTGCGGCCTCTCCCCATGGGCAATGCCCTGCACACGCGGCCTGTTGTTGGCAGTCGCTAATGAAAGGCATCAGAACGCTGTCCTGCATCAGTTCATAGACGATATTTACAGCTGGATCGAGGGATTCTGGCGGCGGGGGCGCCCGAGAAGATGGCAGGTTGAGAATGTGATTCCGTACGGTGCAGGGAAGGTTCACTTCACGAGGACCGTTGGGCACAATGTAGGCATCCAGAATCTTCCGCCACAGCATCCGCACATATTCGCGTCCCTTCTCTGCATTGGCAGACTTGTTGTCCTCGCTTGCAACGCAAGCATTGAAGTACTTTCGGTATCGAGTAGCGTCCATTGTAAACTCCAATGTCTCAAGACAGTGGTTTTGAGATAGAAAGGCCATAAAGGCAGTAAGGGTGAAGGGTGCTCCCGCAGTATTCGATAATACTTCCGACAATGACGGTCGTTTTACACAGTATGGGCCCGAAGGGTACACCACACTCAACGGCCGGTTGTTATTATACTCGTTCGACATGCCCTCGTCGTCTGTATCCGGATCCGGGGAAGGTGTAGTTCTGTTTGTGGGTGATGTTTCGCGAGACGAGAGGGAAAGGTTCAACGAAGGAGGACGTCTTGATCTCCGACTAGCCATGCTGTGAATGTGAGCGTGTTGGAGGGATTTAAGTGAGTGAGTGTACGAGGTACACGATCGGACTTCGATCCCTACGAAACCGACTGTTTGCCGTTCGGATAATCCACTGTGTAAAGGACGTAAAGACAGACGAAGAGAGAATGTTTCTGGTGAAGGAAGGTGATGGTCTGATCAGCGAGAGAGAAGACGCTCTGCTGAGACCGGATAGTGATGCGTTGAAGTGAAGCCCCGAATGGCAATAATCGAGTCGAGTGTGCGTGTATGTGGAGGACGAGATTGAAAGCGCGGGCGGAGTGCTAAATACCAGTAAGAACGTTAGGAGACATCGGTGGTGTTGGAGGGTCTGACATTCGGATACCCACCTGATTTTGCGGGCGTTGGTTTATAATTTAAAGGGGGGGCAACGGCGGAAGTCGAACAAGGAGGGTGGGTGGGTGGTAGGGGGGATGGGGGGGGGGGGGTGGATGGATGGATGGATGGATGAATAATACTACCAGCTTCCCCGTTCCTGTTGGGCAGAAACAAAAAATCCTGCTGCAGAGACCGGAGAAATATGTGGGCGAGCAAAAAAAGACTGGGAGCGAGATCGCGCGTTTGAGGGATACAATCACCAGTGCACCTTCCCGAACCCCGGCCCTCGGTGGCCACTGAGTAAAATTGCGGTGTATTCGCAGGTATAGAGAGATTCGGGAGCCAGCATCAAAGAACTAGGTGAATAACGGCGACAGATGCAGAAGTCTTCAGGAAGTGGGGAGGAAGACTGCGGAAAGGTGAGAGAAGTTCAGGTAGGCTGGGAAGGCGAGGAAGGGAAGGGAAGGAAGGAGAGGGGTGTGTGGGTCGAATCCGTGCTCGAATGGTGTGAGAGTGAATAGTGTGGGTGGGACACAACTGATGGGAAAGTCGAACAATGCGGTACCGTAAAAACTCTACTCGAGTACGGCACCAGACCACGGTGCTCCCTACATGAACAGCACGAACAGCCAGGAAAATCAATAACAAAACACTGTAAAAAGAGGGAAAAAAAAACGGAACTCGGGTAGTAGGAGGGGCTCAAGCTGCCCTATCCAGATTCTCCGAAGGTGGCGACCAGCTACAATATGTGACGGGCGGGTGGGTCTGAGAAATGAAGGGACAGTCAGGAGAGTTATTGGTGGGTGTACTGTAGGTACGGTATGGTTGTAACTTGGTAGCACTTGTAGCGAGAAAGGGTACCGATGCAAATTTCGGTGTGGGTGGGCTTCCTTCCGTGGGCGAGGGTGGAAATATTGTAGGTGATGGGTGGTGGTGCTTATGATGACTGGCCGACAAAGATCGGGACTGAGAAGGGCGTGCGAATGTACCGTACTGTAGATACACAGCAGAAATGGTACCGAGACGGACGGACGGACTAACGTATCCCCCTCTCTTTACTCAGTATTCTATTGTATTCCTACCCCCGTCCTTGTTCCCCAAGAAAAGTGAAGGGGTGCTACAGTACCCGTACAGACGGACGTATGTCGAATTCCAGCCGGGAGATGCGACACGGCCATGTACTCGAGTACAGACGGTGATTCGGAGACTAAGAGGACAATGAGGGTGAAGGGGATATGGCATGCATGGCACGGATGCAGTAACTTCATTTCATTCTTCTCTAGCGGTATCTCCGCTTGCAATGTAGTACGGATACGGTATGGATTGTGCGGAAATGTGTTATCACGGTGAAGGCAGAAAAGAAGGGAAGGAGCGAAATTCAACTGCTCCTTCGCTGTTACGGGACCGTACCCCCTCTTGCGGTGAGACGGTACAGAACCTGGATCGACCTAGCCATGCTTCTCTGCGAGGAGGTTAACAAGGGCATGCCTCAAGGCAAGGGAGGGGGGGGGGTTGGATCGAAGGAAGTTGTCTGACCTTCTACTCGAGTATCCATTTTCCCGTAACTTACTTGTATTGCGAGCTTTTTACTTTGCTTGGTTGCTTGCGTTGTGCTGACGGGGGGGCCGGCCGTTGGGCGTGGACTGAGTTGCCAGTACCGTACAGGTACTCGAGGACGAAAGAGGGGGGATTATTCCCCTTTGGAACACAAGCGCCGTTCCGCAGCTGTATACCGGTACAAGTAATCGCTAACCAATGATGGTGTGATCAAGCTCAAATACCTGTAACACAGCGATGACGGTGTGCGAAGAAGGCTTTCTGCCGTGAGGTTGGGCTGGGGGGTTAGAGAGTCTACTTCTAGAAGTGGAATAAGCCCTCTCACAAACAGGGTGCGAGCATTTCTAAATTGATCGAGAAGGAAAGAAGCAATTATCGAATGAGTTCTTACTCGTCCACACTAACTGAGGCAAAAACCTAGACTATTCTGTAGGGTAAGTTGGCCCGCATGAAGTGGACCTTCTCAACCCTACTCTTTTTTTTTTTTCCCTCTCGTACTCCACTCGTAGCATACGTGGGAAAAGCCTCTGGGAGGATACCCACTGGGCGTTATGAAATGGCGGGAATCGGTTAATGTCCATGAGGTGGAGAGGTTAACGGGTCCGGTGCCCGAAACAAGTACTCGTACCGGTACCGTATTCCCACGAACACCCATGTCGTCCTGATTCCGGGCATTCGCTGCGTGACCTGAGCAGAACACGGACGCCAAGCAGACAAGACATTTCGAACCTGTTTACTCGATCCTTTTCATCCACTAAGCTACGGTTTTCCTGGCTTTGTTGGAGGCTAAGGTTATCCGACCCAAATCAGCGCTACCTTCCAGGCTTCGACGAACCAATTAGAGCCCAGATACGAGCATATCGGCTCAGGAAGGGCGAGAGCCCCGTGAGCATGAGCAGGAGAGGGCATAGCCGGCTGGTACGAGTACTTTTACTGTACGAGTACTAGTACAGTATATGCCAACCCCAACCGCAAGACAGGAAAGGTTGTACAGTAGCCTCGTCTTACCCAAAGCGGCCGTATCGGACAAAGCATCGTAAAGTATCGAAAAGGTTAAGACCATGAACGTGTCGCACAACTTGGGTTGGTGAACATGTCCACGAGAGGAAAAGAAACAAGATGCGAAAGTGATTACTTTTTCTTCGTAGCAAAAAAAAAAAAAAACCTAGTGATTACCTATTCGGCGATGTTACTCGTACCGGTTTGGTATCTCTCTGATCTTAAGGTTTCGCGTGTTGCAAGGGACCGGGTGTACTCGTAAGTTACGATGCTGATCCCCGTCGAGAAGGGAATTAATCATCTTTTCCCTACGCGACGTGATGTGATGTGATGTGATGTGATGTGATATGATAGGGCAGAGGAAGACACGAGAAGGTCTCAAGAGAAAAGAAAAAAGGCTAAACTCCGCTCCCAGCAATTGCCTAACCGCTAAAGGGTTAGCTCCAGGCGTGAACCGCCAAGTAGGGCAAATTCGAGACCGAATGAAAGAGAAAGTCTGACGCCTGTCGCCCCACATCGAAGCACCAAGACCTTCCATTCTTTTTTATTTTTTTGTCTCCATAGAGAAGCGTCTTCAACCACTCAAACGCCAACGACGTCAACACTGTTTCCGGAATCATTTGCCAGGGGGGTAAGGCAAGGCAATCGCCCCCCTCCGGTTTGCGACCAATAGCATAGCGTATCCACCCTCCTCCTCCCCTTCACCTGAGAATTGTCACGGCAACTGCTGTTTTCGCGTTGGGCTGCCAATCGACGTTAGGCGATGCCGCAGATTACGCAACGTTTCCATTGCCCTTCTAGGCCTTCCAGAAGCCGTCGATCTCTTTGTCTCCTTTTTTTCTTCTCTCCTCTTTACTCTTGCCGGTCGAAAAAATAGGTCTTGGCAGGGACTCGTCTCCGTCCAGGGAGTACCGGTAACGAACGAACCGCGGGACTTGCAAACGGCTCGACGGGTCTACCGCCACCACATGGGGCCTGATCTCGTGAGGAAGGTGGATAGGGATGAAAGGGTGCTATTGCTCCCGGAAAAAAAAAACACATCACGGTGGGGAGGAAAAAAAAAAAAAAAAAAAAAAACTAACCCAGAATCCTATCCACCACGTTTAATTCGCGTGCTTTTTCTCTTTGTTCTGCACGCCGGGATTGCAAGCCACGGCACGCCGTGGCTTCACGAAACCTTCCGCATCAAGTGAGTAAACCACACAACTCTCCCGAAACTAACAAAAAAAATTGTAATTATCGCCCTTCCACCTCCGACATTCCCCTCCCGGATCAAAGAATCCGAGTAAGCTTGCCATAAACACAGTAGGGCTATGGATGGGGCGGTCGCCACCATGGCGCAATCGTCATTTTTGGTTTGCCTCTGGGCTCACGGTATGTTTCCCGGTTCTCGACTCCGCACGGCGTTTACTATAGTCTACTACGGTACATGTACTCGAGTGTTCGCGTTTTCTGCGATTTACCTTGGGGTAAGCCAAAGTACCGGTAAGGCAAACTGCCCATGATATCGGCATCATACAACACTGCACGAATCCACAATCCCCGCCCGACTAATGCCCCTCACACAGCCCAGATTATCACCCCTTTCCCTCCCTTTCCCTTTTTGTCTTTCCATTTTCAAATCTCTTTCTTTGTTTCTCCCCCTTTCGCGGTTGTGTCATCCCTGCATTTACCTGCGCCTTTGATCTCTATGGAACATGCACCGACCCGATACCCAGGCACCGTCTCCAACACTGCCACACCCAGGTCCCATCCAGCTTCCCTCAACCTCTGTAGCATGGGCGTGAAGGACATGCCTATATCGTCCAATGTTTTCCTAACGGTATCGAGTAACGCCTGCTGGGATGGTCCGTTTGAATTGTCGACTCCTCCCTTGGGCCAACGGTGGCGTATCTCCCTAGCTAGAACAAGAGCGTGCACCCATGATTTGAGCTGTTCCTCGGGGCTAACCTTCTCCTTGAGACATATCGTGACCAAACATCTCTGAGCATCATACCACAGTAGGTACTTCTCGTTCTGGAATACACTTGCGAGTTCGGCAAGGCCGACGCCCTCTTCTCCCCCCTTCTTGCGCCCCGGAGATTGACGAAGCGAGCGGATCAGCGCCGCCAACCTGACTCCGATTTCGGCGTTTCCAAAGACCCTAGATCCACCCCATCTCAAAACGCCATCCTTCTCGAAAATTCGCTCGCGTCGCGCGGCCTGGCGGGGCGTTAATATTTTTCCGGTATCAAAGAAGTCCGAACAAACGAGGTTGGCCCTCTGGCGGTTCAATGTACGGAGCGCTACGGCTGTCACAGCCTTGAAATTTGTGCCTAGGTGAACCGCTAGGAGAAGCGTCAAGGATAACCATGTTGCCCACGTGGAGGAAATGCGCGATACGACAAAGCTCCCTGCCTACATCGGAGATTCCATGGAACAAGGAATCAAAGTCAGACCCGTCAAGTCGAAGCATAACAAAGCATTTTCCAATCAAACTTTAACGCAGCCCCATGAGTCGAGATGTGGGAATCAAAAATTTCACATCCCGGGCCCTCCCGAGTGGCGAAGAAGGGTAAGAGAAAAAAAAGAACAGGCAAGGCCTGCGGCTCCTCGCAGTACGAGTACCGTACGGTACAGGTACGGTGAGTGTAGGTGACGTGACCGGTTACTCGGACCGCGCCTCCACTATGGTTACCTGGGAAAAGGGGCCGGATTATCTACGGCTAGCGGAGCGGAGAAGAGAATAGGAAGTAAAGGAGCAGCGATTCGACACGGGGCACATTAACAGCGAAAAAAAAAAGCTTACCAGCATTCCCATCAAGCCAATCACCGTTTCTTGACTCGAATCCTTAACGTTTCACAATATCAGCAAATCCTACTTCATACCAAAAGATTGCACCCGCATCCACCTACTCAATATCGGGGTGTAAAGCGGAGAGTCGAAGCCCCTACCTTCGCATTCAACTCCCCCACGTTCCCACTACGAGCAAAGTGCACACTTAAGCTGGCCTTCGAGCCCCCACCTGCCACCCCGCAAGCTGCTCTCAGGGACCCTGAACAGCACAGCATTAATATCCGGACAGATCTTGGGAACGCTGGCGAAAGGCAGTCTAAGATCATGGCTGAATCGTTGAATACATCCGCTGCTAGGCGGTAGCGTTTGGTTTCCGCCTCCAACGCCGGGCCAAATCGGTGCGCGAATAATATCGTCGCCAACCGACCTACGCAGTCTAATAGGCTATGCATCAGATGATGGTGATGGTGATGACAATAATAACCAACCCCCTTGGGGGGAGGTAGACATGGTGCCGAACTCACCCTGAGCAATTGTCAGCAGCAAAGCACCCGTAGCAGAAGCATTCGCATCTCTAAACAATTTATTAATTAGCGCGACCGGATCGTCTATAATAGCTAGCTGGCTGGCTGGAATCGCGAATATGGTATAGCTACCCGACACCGAATCCTAGTTGTATATTCATCACAGGCCAAACGTTAGAAACGATGTGTGACGCCCCTCCGGTATTAATCAGGAAGGGGTGATAGGGGAGGGGTCTTTTCTGGTTATTCACCCTCGAGGACAGCTCTCGAACTCAATAGGCCAGCGATGGACGAGGAGAATGCTTGCAGAGAATCCTGACAATACATGTTTTAGCTTTCCGTCATATGGTGATGATGGGGGTTCAAATTTGTTCATAAAAAATGTCTCACATATATCTGATATCTATCCCGGATTAGAAACAATAATATTAGCTATGATGTTCCTCTCAAACTCTCACTCATCACGCATAAAAAATAAAGGAAGGAAGGAGAAAGGCACTCGAGTCACTGTTACTCATTCTCTGCATCACCGTGATATAATTAAACCGCGCCGTAAGATGGGAACGGGGGGAAGGGGGCTCGTTCCAGTGGCAGCATCAGCAGCACCAATGGTACTGTGGCATGCGCAAGACATAAGTACGGTAAGCACGCCTCGCACACAGACCAACCAACCAGCCAACAGAGCCGCACTTCCATCGCCGACGGAAAAAAAAATAAAAAAATAAGCAGAACAAACCTCCAAGCAGGAAAAGAGCCCCCCGCCTTACGAGGGACAGGGGAAGGGGTTTGGTGCGTGAAGAGATGATTCCAAAAAAGCAAAATCATAAAGCAGGAAACCATGGGCAAGTGGGAAAAAAATAATAAAACAAAATATCTCCCTCCACCATAACTTACCCAATATAATCCTCCGACACACTCGCCGGATAGCCCGCCGGGAGGAACACGTTGACAAGATCCCACAAATAATCACCACCGCGAGCACGACCACCACGACTCCTCTCCGGAACCTAACAGACAAACAATCATTCCGGGGATCCTGTCAACCCCCCTCCTCCCATTCATGATACCACTCCGTCATCGTGAGCGCGCCACGACGGGTGAGGGGGGGGGGGGTGGAGAGAAAATAGATGAGCTGAAAACTCACGATAACTTTGATCCCATCTCCCCCTTCACCGGGCACATACGTGGCGGTCGCGGTGATTCTCCCTGACTCGTCGCGCTCGTAGAATTCGATCCCGGAGGTTTGAGGGGCCATCTTCGACGAAAATATATTTTTTCCTCCTGGTTTCTCCGGTGTGTACCGTTATTACCGTACTGGAATGTGTACTGATAGGTTGTATGTTGTTGTTGTTGTTGTTATTGAGGTTGGGCGCGAAGGGCAACGGCGGTTACTTGCTTGCTTAGCTTGCTCTGCCAGATTGGATTTTCGATGCGCCATGGGGAGAAATGCGACACAATGCACGGACCAACGGACATTTTCCGCTTCTTCCTTCACATATGCCTCGACTATATTGGACGGATTGACGTTCGCGCTATACGATAAGCTTTTCTCTGGTTGACCTTCCTGATTGCTAACCTACCGTATCGTATCATACATACCCCCCCTTTCCCCTTCTCTGCATTGCAGGTGCAGGTGCAGGTGACACCCGAGTAGAATTTGCAAGGCCATCCACAAACTTTTTTGCTCTTTTGATATATATACAATTGTAAAAGGCCCACAAGTGAGGTCGGAAATGAAAATGATAAAAGGAAAGAAAGAAAGTAATCCGCGAGCAAGCCCGAGAAACAAACAAACAGAAAAAGTGGGGGGGGAAGAGGCACCAGCTCCGGTCCCCCCGCGGGAGGGATAAATACAATGCACATTTTGGTAAGGAAAGGGGAAAATGTGAAGAAAGCGAGATGGTACAGGAAACTACCACACGGCATCGAATGTGAAGGGAATATGATGGAAAGTGAATAAAAGAATACGATTCCGGAGAACTAGCCCCCCCAAGCTCCCGATATCCCATAGTACACACAGTATTATCATATCCGGCCGGTCACTCCACCCGCCCCTCCGTTCTACAGTCAGCTTTGCCCGTTCATGCTAACGCCCAACCCGTGTGCTCAACACGCCCGCTCAATTCATCCACCCGCCCATCGTGATATCATACAACCCACCGCTAGCTCTTCCGGTGAACAGAGAGAGGGGGGAAAGAAGAAAAAGAAAAAAAAATCCCCCGAGGTGACTTTTGAATGTTTGTTCTTTTGTCGTATCCGAATAAGAAAAGGGAATGTTGGTTGATTATGCCATCGCGGCCCCACCGCTCTCGACAACCTCCATTTCCTCTTTACTCAAAGTCAGGCGCCAGAATCGTGGGGGCAGTTCGCTCCTGTCGAAAACCTGACCCTTGCTGGGCGAAATGCTAGGCGAAATTCTGGGCGGTGTGGTTGCTTTGTAACCGCCCAGGGGTCCATGCTGTTGTGCCTCCTTGCGGTATTCGGCGAACGAGTTTGGTAGCGCTTTGGTCGGTGCCGCGGGGTGAGGGCGCGGAGCGTGATCAATGGATTCTGCAGGAAGAAAATTGATGTTAGCACCTTGTTCCTCATCCGCAAGCCCGCATGAAAATTCTTTGTGCCACACAAACGTACCGGGGATTGAACGCTTCCCCAGAAACTGGATAAGGGGGGTGCGTCCGGCGGTTGAGGCACGGAAGACTTGAGATGCGTTCATTGTGATGTCCTGGGTTCGTTTCGGGGCCCTGGTTGGCACTTTGTTTGCGGTGTGTGTGTTGGGGGATATGTGCCTTTGTAGCGGAAAGACTCGACGGGGGAAGAGACGAGAAGTGGTTCTTATCAAAGGGTGGAGGAGCAGGTGGATGGCAAATGGCCTGATGATGATGAGGGGTGGTAGCCGTGATATTTCGGAATGATGGATGGCTATTTTTTTTATTTTTTTTTCCCGTCAGTTTGTGACGATGGGTCTTGATGGGACTAGATGGCCCTCCGGGAACAAGAATTGATTAATTATGCGGAGAAGACTCTTGTGACTGGTGGTGGATGGCAGTAGGGGAGATTGTGGTAGGTATCGGTTCGGGCGTTCCCGGTTGCATATGTTTCCTGGGGTCGGTGCACCAACTGAAGTGGTGTTAGGATACAGTACTACCAATTATTATTGGTTGTCACGGTTATCTGTTTCTTGAGTTCCCACTCAACACCAAAACCCCGAGTATTGCAAAGGGCGAGATTAGGCAACGAAACACACGATCAATTGGCTTCTAGACAACTGTAGAACGGATCAACCACAAGGCGAGAACTTTTTATCCTCTTTATACACACGCCTTATCAGTGACTCTTTACTTTTCTTTTTCTCTCTTCGAGGATTCTGGCGGTCTCCGCTGTTTCACGGGTGGGGAGCGGGTTTTCCGTTCTCCAAAGTCGAGCAAGTTCTCCCTACTATCATAATACTATGCAGGAGCGCCGAGGGTATTTCTTGCTTTTTGGCCCCCCTATGGACCCACGATGGACTTGAGAACCAGACCGTAAAGCCTCCGGGAGGCCTTCCCACTGATCGAAACATCGCGAGCCGGCTGTTCGGCTCGGTACCATCAGGAGGAAGGTTAAGGAATGGCGAGAAGAGAAAATAGACGGAGTATCTCCTCGGGCAGCCATCAATGTTAGTGTGACGGGAGCATGCCCTTCGGCCTACTTTTTTTACCTACACCAATACCCCCCCTTCCGGGCCATTTTCTTGCCATGACAAAGAGAATTTACCCTTTACGGTCTGACCAACAGATAAGGAAATATCGACTTTGATTGGTCGAGTGTGCAAGGAAAAAAGGGCTGACCCCAAACTGGGTGTTAGTCTACCGTAATTATCATAACCAATCCCATTCTGGAGCACGCGAATTCGTTCGTTTGTGCGTTCCATGCATGGTACGGTGGAATTTTTTTTTTTTTGCTTATTGGAAATTGCGGGGTTCGAGGCAGAGGGGGATGGGAGGGAGCTTTCGAATTCCAACTTGACGCTGCCAGGAGCTCCCGCACTAAGATAGTCTAATCACCACGGCCGACTAATAGACTACCGGTTTTCGAGATACGATAAGTATTACAAGCTCCGTAGCTATAGCTACAGTAGCTAGCTAGCTAGCTAGCTCTGACGACGAGGCCGACTGCCGGTGACAAAGGTCAGGAGAGGCTAAAATGTGAACGCTGGCATTCCCGGCATTGATCTACCGCCTTCCTGTTGGGTCGCCAGATAAACCCGAGACCGAGCGGAAGGAAAGCAGGAAGGCGAGGCTAGATCATCGACCCGTGGCGTTTTGGCAGCTCCCAGTCCACCCTCCTGTCCCTCCCCTCTGCTCTACGAGAACGGTCGACCATGCAGCACCTGGCCGCTTACCTGTCTTTCCAAATGTGTGAGGTTGTTGAGAAAATGAACCGTCGCAGTGAAAAAGAAAGAAAAAAAAAGCAATCCTCATGGTTGCCCTGGGAGTAGAAGGCCATCCTGATGCCAATGCTTTTCCATGATCACCACTGTGCCAAGAAACCAACCAGGCACTGCCCCTAGCTTTCGCCAAGTCTGGTGGACCACACACGGTTTCTAGCACTTATCCCTAAGGATATTCGAGCACCAGTACTCGTACTGCTTCACGCATATCCGGAAGTCATACTTTACTCGTGCAGGAGGGAGACCACACCCTTTTCCTTTCCCTTCCATCCATCCTTCTGTCTTACCATGCACTCCCTGCAACTTTATGGTTGAATTGGTAGGACTGCATAGGGTACGGCTCGTGTATGGCACACAACCGGTGAGAAAATAGAAAAGGGCAAAAAAAAGAAGAAAAAAAAGAGCTCTTTCCTCTTTATCATACTATTATCACCAATCAAAAATAACTGAACACGTCCCGGTAGCAAAGCAGCGGGGGAAAAAAAACTACAGAATTTGCCAGCTGAACAAGGCTATGTGGGAATCTTTATCGTGAATAATAATGCTCATTAAGCCGGAAACTACCTCAATAAGAGGAGCCTTTAGTCAATCCATCGCCATCCATCCTATGATAGAGCTTCGAATTAAACCTCTCTCCTCACAAGTATCAAACCGAGGGATCCCCCCCTCCCCTCCCCCATTGCTACGATACCTATAGCCATCCAGTTATTTTCGATGGGTAACAAAACCTGCTTGCTCACTAGTCTGCACAAACAAAGGAGCAACATTGCCCTTGGCGGTTGCCCCACGAGCTGTTGCGGGTCCCAGTTTTTGGAGAGGGGAGGAGTGGGAGAGAGGGGGGGCAGGGGGGAAGGGGGAAGGGGAATTGAATACTCCCAGGTTTAGGTTGTCTGTGAAACATTGTTACCGTGCTGTAAACCACTCCGACTGGGCTGGGTGTGCTTTCTGGTCCCCTCTGTCTGCCTCCCTTTCCTCGGTATGCGCTGCGTATTACCGTATCGTACAATGGCACTGCACAATGCAAACATGTCTGCAGATATCCATGCGCAAGGGTCAGGCATAATAAAAAAAAGGTGGTACCGTATTGTAACGGAGCAGGGGTTCTTGAGGTTGATTCTTGACAAATTAGTGGTATTCCGCGACTGTGATAGCTTGTCCGTTTGTCTTCAGATGAAGAGCTTCCTCCATTTGCTCGACGAGTGTCTGCAGAAGCTCCCCCCCTCCTTCCCTCCCATTTTTTTTTTTTGGTATGATAGACGTATTGAATTGGACGTTAGGTTGCTGTGCCTCATCCAACAATTATTCTCCTTTAGCATTGAGTACTTGTACCGTAAGGCAAGAGTGAAAGCAGAGAGGAAGAGGGACCTTCTCAAGGTCATGTCTCTCAGATGTACGATACCACCACTACTGCAGAAATTATGCACCGTACCATTACCGGAGCTCTAATGCCGACCCCTGTAACTCTTTCTGCAAAAACCCATCTTGGGGGGAGGTACGATACCGTAAGTGAGAGCTATTAGGAAAGTGAAAACTCTACTAATACTGGCTACTGGCAGGAACACAGCTGCAAGGCTATGGTTAGGTTCCCGTGTGTAAGGGTAGTAATATGTAAGAGTGTGGGTACGGTAAGTGATTCCTCCACTCACGCAGAGAAGAGAAGAGAGGGGAGGGGGGGAGGGGGAGAGGAGGACACGAATTATGATGAGCCGTACGACCAAACTCCCAGCAAAGCGAAGAAGGAAATGAATTCAACGGTGCGAGTAACTTAAGGATCAAAATCATCCTGTGGTCTACCGTAGCTTCATCATGATCGGCCACAACGCATCAAAGAGTAGGGCGTTCGTCGGTAGTTTCTTCTTTCTCTCCTGCTTCAAATCGACCTCATTCATCCACAGCCCCCCCGAGTCGATATTAACTTGATATCAATCACCAAACGAGCGGGGAAGGACCGCCAAGAAAACCTTTTTTTTTTCTGATTAACCATTTCTAATATCCCTTTTCTCCCCTCTACCCTTCCTCCCTCCACCACCCCACTTCAACATTAATTTCGAGGAAGAAGCAATAAATCAATATTGTTCTTTTCTTTTTCTTCAGTTAACTTGTCGTTTTTCTTTTTCTCCCTTTCTGACTGTTGCTTTTCCAGAAATTGTTTCAGGGTTGTTTGGATCGGGTGGTGAGGGGGGGCAGGATGTGGTCCGCTCTTTGTTACTGCCGCACAGTACGTTACCGTATCATGATCCGTCGCACTGCAGTTCATCATCCTTTTTTCTTTTTTCCTGTCCTCTCTCATACCGTCTCTAACCTATCTCGCCATTTCCCTCCGTGTTACTTTCGGTTTTCCCATGCAAAATGATGGATGGATGGAACGGGTTGGTTGATGGAAGGGGAAGGGTTGAAACGTGCGGTATTGGTTCTTTATGCTATTAGTCTATGCGGATCCTCGTGTCATGCTCGTGGGTACGGTAATCCATCATCATCACATTATGATATTTCCGACCAGCCAGGTAACCCATCTAGAATGCCTTTCTATCCCGTGCATTCGGTAATATCTATGACCTCCACGAATGTGTTGGTTGGCGTGTCATGTCTGGATCCCCAAGGACGTGAGAAAAAAAAATGAGATACGGTGGATGGTATGATACAGGTACGGTCCCGTCATCAAAACTCTTGCGGATGGAAAGGTACCGTCCCAGGGTCTTGGCAGCAACGGAAATACTAGTACTATCCTGTACGAGTACATTTCGTTGCCAAATATTTTCTCCCCAAGTTAAGCAGCACAGCAGGCTTTCCCATCCACTTGAGGTATGGTAGCAGCAGAAAAATTCGCTTGTGTCATCACATATATCATAGCGGACCCCCAGAGAATGACTAAAAATGGGGGTGTTATTGTCAAATACAAAGTCCAGACCTCATGCACGGCAACCTTTTTTGTACCGGTACTTTAGTCACCGCCACCAACACACCTTCTACAGTACCTTTCTACCAGCGAGAACTTTACGAACGGGACTATACAAAGGCACGGGTAACGTAAGATCCCCTGGCATAAAAAGCTATCCTTCGCATGATATCTAGTCTAGCGTGAGATTCCGGCATCGCACTTACTCTTCCATGCACAGTAATCATAGAGTGTCACTCGAGATACTTCTCTGCTCACC